TCAAGCGTCAAACTTCCAGTGCCCTTACGGCATAAAAGAAGTCTGGTGACCGAAATCTACCCGCAGCGAATTGATATGCAGTGAGTACTTGGTTAACGGATAATGATCATCGTGGTAAACAAACGGTATCAGGCCAAGGTGGTCTGAACATACCGGGCAGTCGTTCGCTAAAAAAGTGTGGTTTGCCTCTGCACAGCACGGTGAAGAAAGCGAGGAGGTGCCATGACATGGCAAAATGGAATGAAAACAGCTTCCATAGGAACGAGCGCTGCGGTGTGTTTTCGTCTATCTCCTAGGGGTATACATAAGTTTTCTCGAAAGAGGCTTATGATCTTTGGGGATATTGTTTGTAACCGATTTCTGTGGTAAGCTTGCCGTTGCTCCGTAATCGGACTTTCTAGCTGAGGTTTGTATTTGGTTTTTCGCTGGTCTTCTGCCGAGTGAGATTCGCAAAGGATGCTGGGTCGGTTTTGTTGCTGGTACTTTCGATGTGGTGCCCGGGTACTTACTTCTATTCCGTTCTTACATGTAGACGCCTTGTTCTCACTCGTTTCTACTGGAGGCCTTCACAAGTGCCTTTTGCACCAGACCTTTCTTCTATTGCCTTCCACTTTCCACTAGGACATTCCTCATCACTGTACGACATTCGGGTGTCACTTTTACCCCAACTTGTAGCTGTCTTTGCTGCTGTTGGTCTCGCATCCTCCAGAGGTTCATTCAGCCTCCGTCACCATTCCCGTCATACATAGGTGGCTCTCCAGCTACAGTCTCGAGTGACTCGTCGTACTCACGCGGCTGTAAAACCTGCTCAACTGGCCCAGCGTTGGCGTAACAGGTCACTAGTGAAACAGTCATCATCATTATCGTCGACAGCATGACGTCAGTGTTCAACACCGATGCTTCACTGCCATGCAACCATGATTTATCTGAAAGCCTTGTTGTAAGAAAAAGAGTAAAGGTGGGCGGGGAAGGGACTTAGTGCTAGCTTACCACAATAATTTTGAGGTGCCGATATCTCCAGACACTCACTCAAGCGATCTGAATAGAAAATGACAACAAGAACGCCACTGACATCGGTTGGCAGCCCAATCTTGTAGTGTCTTCAACCAGGAACAGTGAGGATCACCCGGTCCCCATCCTGGAAGGCGAGTAGCACCGACAGCATCCAAGAGTTTCGTGATCTCCTTCATACTCTGCCAATTCAAGGGTTGGTCACCTCTCTGTTTACGCCACTCTGAGTGGGGTATGGAAAACAGCACTCTCTTCGGCAAACGATGGTTCGGCATACGCAACACATGTCCCAATCAACGCAGCTTCTGGTGCTGGACACATTCTTCGATGGAAGTACCCGTCGCACAACCGAAACCGCGCTTTCTAACTGCCTCGTTACGGATTCACCGATACCAACCCACACGAGCCATGGTTCTGAAACAACGATTGTCGAACACCTGAAGACATCTTAGGCCAAGTCCCACAGCCATACATCAAAAGGGCCCGTACTGTAGCTTGATACACACGTCCCTTCAGATTCAGGAATAAACCATTCTGACGCCATAGGTGTCTCAACTTAGCAAACGCGGCTCAATCAGAACTAATACAAATTCCAAGATATGTAAAACGCTCCACAACTTCCAGTACCTCTCCCTGGATTTTAAGTTGCGTGTTTACTCGCTGTACGTTCACGAGCATGACCTTACACTTTGTAGGTGTGAATTGCATACCAAAAGACGGGATGACGTTGGCCAGTTCATCCAAGAATACTTGCAACTTCTCCTCCTTTTCGAAAATGAGAACGATGTCGCCTGCATAATCCAAATCGAAAAGGTTTTCTTCACAGGCTATTTGAACACCAGGAGAGTCTCCAGCGTTCTTCCCTCATTATTTCATCGATCACAAAGTTGAAAAGTAATGGAGAGAGTGGGCATCCCTGACGGACACCGCTTTGTGTGCGGAAGCTTTTGGAGAGCTCTCCGTACACTCTCACACGTCCGGAAGTCTGAGAATACAAAGAACGTATTATGTTTACAAACTTCCGGGGCATTCCTTGGTGGGCAAGCGTCTCAAGAAGAACAGACCGATCAACCGAGTCGAATGCGCCTCGGAAATTCAGGAATACTGGAATTGTGGGTCGCTTATAAATATGGCGTTGTTCTAGGACCTGTCTCAGTGTGAAGATTTGGTCAACACAACCCCTACCAGGCCGGAATCCTGCTTGCTGCCCTCGAGTCAGTGTCCCACGAGCCACCGTAAGGCGACGAAGCACAAGTGACGCCAGCACTCTCGTTACGACCGGCATCAAGCAGATCCCCCTGTGGTTGCCACACTCGGTGCGCGCCCTTTTTTTGAAAATGGGCACTATCGCCGACTCTCCCCAGTCGTCTGGGACATACCCCTTTTCTCAGTTGCAAGCAAACAGATCAGATAAGCGCTGACTGAGGACTTCACCCCCATCTTTGAACTATGCTGGTGGGAGGTCTTCCGGATCAGAGGCTCGGTGGCGCTTAAGAGAAGTAATGCAGTCTTAAACCTCCGAGGCCGTAGGCGGTTCCACGTTCACCCTCCAGGGTTCTACGTCACCTGTGGTTTCCAGATGGGTTCCAACTGGTGGCTATGACAGTCGCTGTTCACAGTATTTGGCCCAACAGTTGAGGCGCTCTTGTTTATTCGAGATGGCCACTCCCTTCCTATGCTTGGTGGCTTCACTCACAGGTGGTTCCCGGGGTCCCGTCGCACGGATCAACTGAAGTAATATTCGGACATTACAGGCCTTCTGGGCCTGTTCCGTTTCCTCGGCTTTCTGTGTCCGCCATATTTCACGGTCGGATCGCAAGCTCACTTTCAGTTGACGTCTGATAACTCTTTGAGTCGGGTTATGTTCGGGACCGGCTGGGATATTTCTTCGAGATTTAAGTAGTGCCACCGTTCGGTCTGATATCCAGTGCTTGAGTGCGCCTGGATGGGTCGTGCCACAGGCAAAATTCCCAGCACTATTCAAAGAGGTGGCAATCTCGTCCCAGTATGAGTTCACATCTGATGGTGGAGCATTTGGAAGAGACTCTAGAAGACGATTCTTGTAAGTTCGTCTGACATCCGGATCTGCCAGTCGTTTAGTTGCCAGGCGATTCGTCCGCACCTTACGCGGTCCCGGGAAAAGTAGGGAGAAGCGACTCTGGACGAGCGCGTGGTCATAGTCCACAAATGTGTTCCAAAACGACCGGCAGTCAGTTATGGATCCGCGCCATCGGTAACTGGTGGCAATGTGGTCGATTTGAGTTTGTGGCCGGCCTGTCATTGGAGGACACCAAGTGGCCAGACGACTTCGGCTATTGCGGAAGTTCGTACTGCATAAAAACAGCCTGCGGTCAGCACACATCAGAAACAATCGTTTCCCATTGTCCGTACGTACCGAGTCCAGTCCATGTCAACCTCCTAATTGAGTCTCAGATGCACTGAGCCTGCCCACTTGCGCACTCATATCTTCGGCAACCACCACGATGTCTGAGCTTTCAGCTCGCCGCAGCAGAGCATTCAGAGAATCGTAAAACCTGTGTTTGACGGCGTCGGAGCTACAGTCGGTTGGGGCGTAGGCAGACACGATAAACAGACATCTGTCAACTTCCCACTTATGAGACTCCTTCACAGACGTTGCCAGACGAACCGCACAGAGGCGACTACCAGCAGGTATCCAGTCAAGTAAAGACACTTTCGCCCGGTGACTTAAAACAATACGAACCCCTGCACGTCCCACCTCAGCAGCCTCTGGATCACCAGAGGTACGCAGCCGGAAGCGACTGGAGACTGGTGGGGCGGCTAACTCAATCACTGTGCTTCCATCTTGAATTCTCGTTTCTGAGACACAGCACACATCAATGCCAAGCGAGTCCAGTGTGAGTGCAAGAGCAGCTTGTTGTCCTGCTTGCTTCAGAGTGCGGACATTGGACGCGGCCAGATAAACTGGGTTCCAAGGAGGACTTATTTGGAGATTCCTGAAGATGTCGGCGCCATGTGACGAGCAGATGCTGTACGCGAAACCGATGCATGACGAACGGAGTTATCAGTCCTAAGTGATGGGCCTACAAGGAGAGAGTTATTAATGGGGTGGGGAGAGGGGGAAGAAAAAGTAT